CCTTCTATAAGCCCCCTCCTCTGATAATCACTGATCTGCTTTCTCTCACGTTCTAGAGCTATAAATAGCACAACTTGTTTATCCACTTACCTGTTGCTGAACTTTGTATTATTTCCAGTTAGGGATACTGTAAATAAAGTTAATATCAACATTTGTACAAAATATGCTTTCATTTTCTTGGGTAACACCTAGCAGTGGAATGGTTGGGTCATATAGTTGGCTTATATTTCATTTTTTAAGTAACTGCCAAACTCTTTTCCATATAATTTTAAAGTTCTGCCAGCATATATGAGAGTTCCATTTCCTTACCAACACTTGATAAGGTCAGTCTTTGGAATTTTAGCTATTCTAATATATGTAGATGTATCCCATTGTGGTTTGAATTTATATATTCCTAACAGCTAATTATGTTGAGCATCCTTTTATGTGCTTATCTTTGAGGAGATGGACATCTTCTTTCTCTGATCTTATATCCTTTCTCCCATTTGCTTGCTTGCTCTGTTCTAACAACATTCCTCTCTGTTCCTTGAGGATACTAGGTATGCTCCTGCCTTAGGGCCTTTTGCACTTGTCCGTCATATATTAACATTCCTCATTTCCCGGCCTCCTTCCATTCTTCCTCCTTCCACTCTTCCTTTCAGTGAGGCCTTCTCTGATGCTATTTAAAGATGCAACCTTCACATCTCCCTCTTCTATTTCCCACTCATGCTTTGTTTTCCTCTATAGTGTATCATACTTCTGATGTAATTAGATATCTTATGTAAATTACATTTATGTATATAGAATGTTATCTCCTTTGGCAAGGGTTTTTATGTGTTTACCTTTGTATCCCTAGTGCCTAGAATACTGTGTGTGACCTGGTAGGTGCTCAGCAAATCTATATTCAGCAAATGACTATGCATTGTATTGTTTATCTTCCTTGCCACACTGGGCACTTCTTTTTTTTTTTTTTTTAAATGCAGGATTTATTGAGAGGATAGAAAAGCTCCCACAGTGGGAGGGGACCCGAGGAGGTTGCCCTCACTGAGCACTTCTACAAGGTACACATTGAGTATCATGTACACATTGAGTACCACGGTCACTCACCTTGAAAAGCTATCCTGATCACGCCCCTTTACAGAAGTAGCATCAAAGTTTAGCACAAGACCAAGTTCTTGATACGGACACACAATGTTTGCTTAGGTGCGTGTAAAACGCTGGGCAAATACAGCCAAACATGCCTCCTGGCCCCACCTTCCAATCAGCAGCTCTGCTCAAAACTCTCTCACACTGCATTCTTCTAGAGCCACAATATCTACCCTGTTTTTTCTCCCACTGCAAATCTCCAACCCCAAACCACCAATTAGTCTTCTCCCACTCTCTACCCTCACCAGCCTCTCCACTCTTCACTGCTGTATGCTTTCCCAGACTGAATCGTCTGTAATCACAATTTGCATAATTTTGCACCTACTTATATAATTTGTTACCTTCTAAATGCTTCTTCTATTTTTTTCATCTGACCTGCAATGCTTCTTTGGTATCTCTCAATGCACCAAGCTCAGTGCTGAGCACACTGTGATATCACATACATAACAGAAACTGGGTGGGGAAGTGGGGCCGTGAGAAAAAGGCTGAAAAATGGATAATCAAAGTAAGAACTTAGAAGGAAAGCTGAAAAACAGGATATCTAAGGAAAAAAAGGTATACTGTAAACTACCACCTCATGAAGAAGAGGAGAAATGAAGGAGCCTGAAACAATTATAAGAATGAAAAAAAATATATATGGTAGAGTGATAGGATAGTTGGAATTGATACAGCTATTCTATATTAAGAGATTTCATTCATTCATTCATTTAGTTCACATTTGTGCGTTTATAAATAAAAGACTTGAACACGATTGATCATCTGAATTAATGTCTCTCTGACCAAAGCTGTCAATGAAATAAAGCACGCTATGTTAAAAACAAAATCAACAAACTTCGAAATAGGATATATTAGTAACTAGGGAATATTAACACTAGGTTTTTGTTTTTTTTTTCAGTTGGAGTCTCACTGTTGCCCAGGCTGGAGTGCAGTGGCACGCTCCCAGCCACCGCAGCCTCGACCTGCTGGGCTCCGGCGATCCTTTCGCCTCAGCTTTCCAAGGAGCTGGAACTACAGGCGCGCGCTACCATGCCCGGCTAATTTTTTTGATTTATTGTAGAGATGAGGTCCCACTAAGTTGCCCAGGCGGGTCTCGAACCCGCGGAGCTCAGGCAATTCACTCACCTCGGCCTCCCAAAGTGAGGGATTACAGGCTGAGCCACCGAGCCCGGCTAACACTAGTTTTAATAATTATAACAAATTTGTAGAAACTTCTTAAAAACTCTGACATCAACAGGAGATAATGAAGAACGTTAATAGGGGCATGAGGCATAAAAGGTGAAAGTTTAAGATTTTCAGGAATATACACCTTTATTAAATTAACCCTTAGAAGTTTTTTCATGATACCTTAAAAAAAGAATGTAGCTTCACTAAAATATGTATAAATTGTTTGCACAAAAGTCACTGACATTTCTCAAAAAAATAAACAAGATAAGAAATCCAGACAGAAAGTAGTAAGAGGCTGTTTATGTGGCTCATTATATATTTTGGTCAGCCAACTAATAAGTGGATATTACAAACTGAAAGACAGGGCTACAAAGAAACAAAAAATTAGCCTCTCTGCCAATTTACTTGGGTACTACACTCTTAACTTAGGCAAATTAAAGAAATGACTTCTTTGTACATACTCGGCTATAGTGTTTCTACTATCAACTCACTTACAGTTTTCAAGTAATGAGAAGTCTATCTTAATTCATCCTTACTTCTAAGAAATTATAAGTAGGGAAAGTCCAAAAGCTTTATATGAACTTCAGCATTTAGACATATCTGATCTTCTCATGAACGTTCTTTTATTTTCAGAAGCATCTTAAGAGCTCTGTGTTCAAAAAAAGAAGCTGAATTACTCTGACAAGTTTCAAAAGTTGAGATGTTTGTAAGGCTTCACTGAACTTCAGTTTGGGAGGCATGGCATGGATCTCTGTATCCCCTGAAAATAGGTATCCAGTGTGGTCAGAATGAAGTGTGTGTAGGAGATTTTTTGTTAGATGCACACTCTGCTTATATATAGAAGGCATTCTTTCATTTACATTTTAAGTAAAAGGTTCTAAAACTTTTTATAAAACGTATTCAAAGACACAAAGAGCATTGTTTCCATAATGCATTAAATATGATTACTTTCTGGTTGTTGAAACAATCTGTTCTCATTGTTTCAGTCTATTTTTTCTGTGTATAATCAATCTGTTATTAAGTACAAACTGCTCAAGCTCATTACCTACTATTATATAAAATTTTAATTGTTCATAGCTTGGAACTAAGAATATATTTGGCAGATGAAACAAAAAAACAGAAAGATCTGGGATGTGTATCTGTATCATACGACAGGCAGAAGGAGAAAGCACGGAAGGAACTGTAGACTGGAGTAAGAGGACTTGCATTCTGGCACTGAGTCTGCCACGTATTACATACAATGATCTGAGACAAGCCACAGCCTTTCAGATCTTGTTTCTCCATTTGTAAAACAGAGGTCAGAATATTAGTCTGCCTCTCCCCAGGGATATAGTGAGAATGAAATGTGATAATGTGAGTGAATGTACTCTGATAGCTATACATGGCTATAATATAATTATATAATTATTGATTCTATCTTTAAAAAAGAAAGAAAACTTACAATAAAATAATACCTGTGACCACTAAATCTAGTTAAAAAGGAAACAAACAAACAAACAAAAAGCCAGTAGTCAAGCTTAAAAGACTTAGGTCTATGGTCCAAATGTTGACATAAATGTGCCCTGTGAAATTTCCAAAAGGCAATTCCTTTTAGTTTTCTTAACTATAAAACAGGGAGATTATAGAAAGAATTTCTAAAGTGTCTTCATGATTCTTTGACTCTTTAAAAACTTACATGTGTCTTTCACTTGAAGAACGAAATACTAGTCTGCCTCCCACCCCCAGATGTGGATGTGGGGGCAGTGATGGGAGGATGGGATACCTAAGCTGCTCAAGGCTGTTGCATTCGCGTTATATTTTGTTAGTGATGTAATGTGAATATGAAGTTTTGACTTAATATTAGGTCCAAAAGATCATCTGAGATGATAAAATTGAGAAATATTTTGGGAATGTTTTTGATGTAAAATTTTTTAAAGGTAGAATTGTGATTTTTTTTTTTTTTTGAGTTGGAGTCTCACTCTTTTGCCCAGACTGGAGTGCAATGGCCACTCCCGGCCACCGCAGATTTCGACCTGCTGGGCTCTGGCGATCCTTCCGCCTCAGCCTTCTGAGTAGCCAGAATTACAGGCATGCACTACCACGCCCGGCTGATTTTTTTGATTTATTGTAGAGATGAGGTCTCGCTGCCCAGGCAGGTCTTGAACCCGCGGGCTCAGGCAAACCACTCACCTCAGCCTCCCAAAGGCGTGGGATTACAAACTGAGCCACCGAGCCCGGATGTGATTTTTTTCATAATGCGTGCATTAAGTGACAAAGCAAGTGCCAAATAAAACTATAAAAACTTCCCAGAGATTTTAAAAACTAAAATTATTCAAATACATTAGGTGTTTATAGAAAATACAAAATGATAATGTTCTCAGTGCTAGCTTTTTTAATGCTTCTAAATAGGCATTCATAATTTTACCTTCAGCATATCATTTACTTGTTTTCAGCTAATGTTATTTAAAAATGTTACTCAAAAAAAAATAAATGACAAAATAGGTCCTCTGAAGTTTTGTGTGATATTATTTTATTTAATATTATTTCTTCTAACCTTGTAATAATACATATTCTCAAAGTACCTATTAAAATGTTCTATTTTAAAAATCAATTATCTGAAGTTTAACTTAGAGTGTGATAATGTTATGAAAGAGAAATGGAGAAATTGTCCCTAAAAAAAACACAACCCAACTATTTTCACCACAAATTATTTAGGAGGAGACATTGCTTACTGTGTCATACATTCTGAATCCAGTCTGAAGTCCTGGGACTTCCTACTGACCAACTGCTGTGGAAGAAGAAAAACAAATATTAAGTAAAAAATGAGAAAAGACAACCCAGTCAATATTCACATGCTGAAAACCCACCAACTTCCTGAATGGGGGAGAATATGCCCGTTCTGAACAAGAATGTCTGTCAGCGCAATATATTTGCTCCTATGTAACATCAAGGAACTAGTTCTTCAGATGGTTTAAGCACTCTCTAGAAATAAAGTCAGCTTTCAGGTGTATGGCAAAAAAAAAAAAAAAAAAATCCATTGTAAATTAGTTTAAATTAATCTAATGTTATGTGGTATAATATTTAAGCTCTAAATTTATCTTTTAACACCGCGTCTTTTCTTTATAAGCTTTTCAGTATACTCTACATTTTCATAGTAATAGTCACTGAAATGTATACAAGTTTTTGAATATAAAGCTCTTTAAGTCTTAGTTTAGTATATCTTGTTGTATTGATGGCACCTTTGTGACCAGAATGAACTACTAAGCACTTTCAGTGGTACAAAATTATACTTTGAGTGTTGGATGCTTCCTTTAAAATCTAAACATTAACTCCAAAAGCATACTGTGGAAAATTGAGTTTTATATGACACATGGTATTTTATAAATCAATCCAATGTTGCTACTATAAAACAATGCACATGTTTTATAGAGATAATTATGTGTTATGGAAAGGATCCATTTAACATTCACAAATAAAATATATATTGTATATTAAAGTTTTGAATTATATACAAATGAAGGAGATGTACTATATCCTCTTAATTATTATTTAAAAAATCCAGAAAACATGAAGCCAAAAAGAAAGAAAAGGAGTACAACCTTCTCTCTGAGTCTTGTCTGATTAACTACTGCTTTCCCAGTGTTACTCTACAGAAGCTTGTTTTCCTTTTTAGATTTCTTCCTTCACGATGAGAATGCTACAAGATTGTTCTTCAGTAAGATTTGAAACTGAGTATCTTTAAATAAGTATTACTTTTCTTATAATAAAGATTTTAAGAGGACATCACACTTTTCCGGACCATAATTATAACATTATTATTGCCAGCTGTATAGCTTTAAATCAAGCATATAATAAAAACAAGAATTAAAGAACAAGGAGACTTAGTGGTGAAAGGTGAATGTTGTAGTAAGTGATCTAATTTGGTAGAACAACAAAAGAACCAACAACATCTTGATTCATCTCCACTAGTGAAGTTCTCACTTAAAATGTGTTTAGGAAAAAAGTCCGTAACATGGAAAATTTAAAATTCAAGGACTAATTCAGACTGCCCTCACCTGACAGAGAAAAAGCAAAGACAACCATCATCACCTAACTCAGAAAGCATCAATCGTAACAGAATTTCTCCACTTTCCAGATTTATTAAATAAATTCTAAACATAGCAATCAAATTAAATGTAAGGTTTTTATTCTTTTTCCTTTTTCAGAGATGCTGGACGTAGCATCCTTGAGCTCCTGGGTTCAAATGATCCTCCTGCCTTGATAGCCCTCAAGTTGCTGGGATTGCAGCACATGCCACCATGCCTGGCTAGTCCTCACAAGGTGTAAGTATTATCTCTGTACCCTTGCCATGGGCAAGACCAGCCTCTTACCATTTACATATGTACATATAAAACTTATAAAAATACTGGGTTTTTAGTGAAGAATTCAACATAACAGCTTTAATAAGAAATTCTCATCAATTTCAATCTACTCCAGAGGTTGAAGGGAGAAAGTCATACTGAATAATATATCACTATTACCAATGTTATTTTAACTACTTGCTGTGATTCTGAAAAATGAGTAACAACATATTGCCTTGTGTAGGTCTTACCAATTCTGCTTGTAATAGTCTGTTCATTTGAAATGGATGCTGTGATGTCCTCAGAGAGTTTGTTATCAGTAGGTTAAATATAGTCCTGCCATGTTGCTTACTGTATGACAGCATTTCTGTGACTGGCATACTCAACTCCTTTTTAATGTTGCAAGGGTGGCTTAGCTTGTGTTCAAATCCTATGACTCTCAGGCTAGTAGGGGATCCACAACACAAAGCTTTAATACTTATTTGAAAAGGATGCTTACTTAAGCAGACCAATATTTCACTTCTAAACACCTTTACTCACTCATTTCTTGGTCTCAGCAGCAGCACGCCATATGGGTAGTTACTCATGGAGGCAGAAGGAGGGGGGAAGAAGGAGGTGTCTCTGTGAGCTGTTTTGCTTTATTTTATCTTTAAAAAAAAAGCCCCCAAGGCTGGTGTGCAAGCAGCCCATGAACATCCCCCATCATTGATAAGGCCAAGGAACATGACTGCCCTTCTTTCCCTCCTTTCCACACACACCTCTGAGAGAGTTGTTTTGTGACTTCATTTCCTCTTCACAGAAACCCTTGATTTGGAGAGGAGGGGATGAAGAGAGGAAGATGAGCAAAGGAAGATGGTGAATGAAAGGACCAGAATCTAGAGCTCCTGCATCCCAAACCTTCACAACTTCTTAGTGACACTTTTAAATTTAGATGCAATGAGACTTAAACATGAAAGGAATGATTAATGGAATTATTTTAAATGCTTCCACTGATTACATGGAAATTTACCAAGAAGAAAATAACTCATAAATAGCTCTGCAAAAGAGAAATGGGCCATGCAAACAACTCACCCAAATATTTTTGTAAAGTTGAAGAATGAATAAAAAATTAGGTAAATGTTCAATCAATGTATGCTGTAGCTAGCATACCAGCTTTAAATAAGGCAAATTTATGATGCAGTATAGTTTTGTTTTTACATGTTGCCTATATATCTCACAATAGATTTAGTGTTTCCATATGATAATCATAATTTGTTTATATCTACTTTGTAGGAATTAAAAAAAGAATGCTAAAGAGGAAAAATAACAACTAGGGTTGGTGGTTAAATTTTAGCCTTGGCTCTGTCATTAACTCTATGTGGCCTGAGTAAGCCATTTAACCTCTCTTGGGGTCTTTTTTTTTTTTTTTTTAAATTTGAAAATGAACAGGGGCTCAGAAGAAAAGCATAAACTACTATAGCACCATTCTCATATTTTACAGATGAGGAAATGGAGGCCCAGAGTTAACAAGGTTACAATAATTTGAAAGTTACACTAGTGTTTTTCAAACTGATTTAACAGCAAAACTATTTTTCAGTATACTTGGTTTGAAACTCTCATATATAAACACATGAAAGTAGCATTACTCTGGGTGAAACTAGGTTTGCATGGCCTGAATCCCCTGCCTCCCCAGTCCTACACCCCTAGAACCCTGAAAAACAGAGCTCTATGGACGACAGTTTACAAACCACTGAACTAGACAAGCTCTAGACAAGACTAAATTGATATAATTTTTATGATATAAATTATAGAATATTGCTAATATAGTTATAGAATATTGCTGATATTGTTTCCAGGAGCACAGTTTTATATTCATATAAATTTGAAGTACATTCTTTGGTTTTAGAATTGATTACTGATTGTGTATCTGATTTGTTTGATGCTAAATCCTCCACTTATAATGATCTTCCTTAAGGAAAAATGAGTCCTCTGCATTAAGATGCAGTTTCTAAAAGCATATTGTAACAAAAAGCGAAAACCTTCCTGATCATGATTTGTAGTTTTGGTGACTAATTGTGCCAGTTAAAAACAGCAACAAATACCACTCTACGCACCACTCTAAGAGCAAGACACTGTGTTAGATGCCCTGAGGATACAAAGCTGAGTGAGTAGGAAGCCCTGCCTGTCAAGAATTTATAATCTAATGAGGAAAAGATGTGTATTCAACCAACAAGACAGAGTGAGATACACGTTACGATAAAGGTAAAGAGGAAAGCTGTGAAATTAAAGAAAGGGAAGCCTTGACTTACAACCGGAGGCTTTTGAGAAGGATTCACAGAGAGAGGGTAACTGGACCTTAAGGAGTAAACTGAAATTCTGATAACTGGAGAGCCAGAAACAACTACACAGTTTGAGAAAACAGATTGAACAAAGGTTTGAGGGATGTAACTGCAGGGCAGCATACTTAGGAGCACGTTTTGGAAGATAAGGAAAAATAGGTGAGAACTTCTATTTAATCTTTGAAGGGTGGGATCTAGATAAAAACTTAAGAGATTTGGACTTTATGAACAAATAAAAAGCCAACTGAGATTTCTGCACTGGTAAATCACATGGGGCTTGATTTCTAGTTTGGGAAAGTATCTACAATAGTCAGGTGAAAGGTGCAATGAAGACTGGCGAAAGGGAGAGCAGAGACTGCTGTAAACAGAGGCCAGAAGGCTGTATCAGGTAGTGACTGTTACACAGCAATCTCCTTCCATGTCTTTCCCCTCAGCACCTGCTTTGAAAACACTGGCATTCTTTTAGGTCCCGTCTTCTGCCTTTGTCATTTTCATTCTTTGCACTCACCTCTTCCATGTATTCAACCGCATGTATATGTAATGACTTCCAAATTAATACCCTGAACCCAGATCTTAAGTTTTCTTTAAAATGACTTGGCGATTGTTAGTTTTCTGCAAAGCAAGTTTAAATACAGCAGTTTTTCTGGAAATATACTCGAATCCATACATTTTTATCAAAGCTATCTTGCCAATCTGAGTTTTCAGCAAATGTCTCCTGAGCCCTATAGATGTCTGCAAGATATCTGCAATTGGCTGCTACACTGTTACTGCAAAGTTTACATGGCTCAAATTGAAGTTCTACCTGCTATTTTATACACTGAGAGGTTTAAATTAAAAATTTAGATTTCCTCTTTATTTTTCCATATGAAGTTAGTCCACTAATCCTAGCTCCTCATTATTTTTTCCTTGGATTACTGCAGCAGCCCCTACTCGTCTTATTTCTTTCAATATGGCTTTCCCCAGTCTTTTCAGAGCTTCCAGAATGAGCTTTAGAAAGAATCCATTTGATCAAGTCATTCCTCTGCTTTAAATCCTTTGATGGTTCTCTACTACCTTCAAGATAAAACTCAGCTCCTTAGCATGCTAGATAAGGACCTTCTTGATCTTGTCCGCTTGTTCAGGTTCAGCTT